GGTTGTGTCATCTGCATAATGCAGATTGTTGATGAATCTTCCACCAATCCTGATGCCACACTTCCCCTCATACAGCCCAGCCTCCCATGTAATCTGTTCTTCATATAGGCTGAAAAGGTATGGAGATAGGACGTATCTGTGGCATACACTCTTCCCAATTTTGAACTATGCAGTGTTTCCTTGCTCTGTTCTGACAACTCCCTCCTGGTCCAGGTATAGGTTTCACATTAGCATGATCAAATGTTCTGGGATTCCCATTCTTCTCAGAGTCAGCCACAGTTTGTTATTATTCACACAGTCAAAGGCCTTTGCATAATTTATGAAACATAGATAGACATTCCTCTGGTACTCCCTGCTTTCAGCCAAGATCCATATAACATTATCTACAATATCCCTAGTACCACGACCCCTTCTAAAGCCAGCCTGCACTTCTGGCAGTTCTCTGTTGATATGCTATTCCAGTCAGTTTTGGATAATCTGCAGCAAAATATTGCTTGCATGTGATATCAATTATATGGTTTTATAATTTCCACAGTCTGTTGGATCACCTTCCTCTGGAATGGGAACAAACATAGATCTCTTCCAGTCAGTTGGCCAAGTGATTGTCCTCCAGATTTCTTGACACAACTTGGAGAGCACATCTAGGGCAGCATCTGTTAGTTAAAATACATCAATTGGTATACCATCAATTCCTGGGGCCTTATTTTTTGCCAATTCCTTCAAAGCATGTTGAACTTCTTTCTTCATCACCATAGGCTCTTGCTCATATGTTGTTTCATGAAATTCTTCTGTCTGCCAGGTCCTTTCGATACAGCAACTCTGTATACTCTTTCCATCTTCTTTTAATACTTTCCAGATCATTTAATATTCTGCCCAAAGCATTCTTAAGTATAGCAACTTGAGGTTTGAATTTGCTCTTCGGTTCTTTGAGCTTAAGAAATGCGTAATTAGTTAATATCAAATAAAATTTGAATTTTAAAAACATAAAAGGAAGAAACAAAATCTTTATTGATCACTCTATTGTATTTGCTTGATCTCTAATAGATGAGAGATCTATTCAATATCCCTAAAATTCGTACAAGACAAATGTATTCTGTTTAGAAGCTGTCAAGTCACTTTCAGGTGGTCATTCTTTTTCATCATTAAACCAGTTTTCACTATGATGGCAATTTGTGGTATTGAGACTACAATGGAGGGAAAAGCCTCTTGGAAAAAATAAGGTCTATGCAGTAGAGCTCTTCATGAGAATTGCACATCAAAAAGGAGATGTTAAACTGCAAAGATAATGGGCCCAGAGTGTAAATTGAGGAGGGAGTGGTTCTTTCAGCAGTGTTAACGTTTCCTAGAACTCACTCTCCTTCATCCTGCCTGTAGATTCCCCATTGCATCACCATAGTTATCCAGAGGCTGTGCCAGTGATAGCTGACAGCTGTGTGTGGGCTGCCTAATTACAGTAACCTGTGATATGGGCACTTGGAAGCTAATTATATCTTTATGATGGAAGGTCTATTAATCATCATCAACATCATTAGTAGTACCTCAAAGCCAACCCCACCCAAAGATGGTAGGGAATTGGTAGGATAGGATATGGGTGGGGTCATGTGTTCCTTTAAATATCTGTTGTCTCAGCACGGACTCTCTTCTCCCACAACAGGTCTGGGGTGTTACGAAGCCTGTTCAGTCTTCCTCTTGCACCACCTATAGTCTGGTGCTTTACTCAGTGCTTACCCTTTGCTCATCCCTCTGGAAGATTCCAGCCAGCACCATGACTGATGATGAACTCTCTGCCTTGGTGGTAGATAATGGTTCGGGGATGTGCAAAGCAGGCTTTGGTGGCGACGATGCTCCCCGAGCTGTGTTCCCGTCCATGGTGGGGCGACCCCGGCACCAAGGGGTCATGGTTGGCATGGGCCAGAAGGACTGCTATGTGGGGGATGAGGCCCAGAGCAAGAGAGGCATCCTGACCTTGAAGTATCCCATTGAGCATGGAGTGGTCACCAACTGGGATGATATGGAGAAGATCTGGCATCACACTTTCTACAATGAGCTCCGTGTAGCCCCAGATGAGCACCCCATCCTCCTCACCGAAGCACCTCTCAACCCCAAGATCAACCGGGAGAAGATGACGCAGATCATGTTTGAGGCCTTCAACACACCGGCCATGTATGTGGCTATCCAAGCTGTACTGTCCCTCTACGCCTCAGGCCGGACCACAGGCATTGTGATGGATTCTGGAGATGGGGTCACTCATACTGTCCCCATTTATGAGGGTTATGCTCTGCCCCATGCCATTCTGCGTCTGGATCTGGCCGGCAGGGACCTAACAGATTACCTCATGAAGATCCTGACAGAGCGAGGCTATAATTTCACCACCACAGCTGAGCGCGAGATCGTACGTGATGTCAAGGAGAAGCTGTGCTATGTGGCCCTGGACTTTGAGCAGGAGATGGTCACTGCAGCTGCCTCCTCCTCCCTGGAAAGAAGTTACGAGCTTCCTGATGGGCAGGTGATCACCATTGGGAATGAACGTTTTCGGTGCCCAGAAGCCATTTTCCAACCTTCCTTTCTGGGCATTGAGTCCAGCGGGATCCACGAGACGACTTTCAACTCCATCATGAAGTGTGATGTGGACATTCGCAAGGACCTCTATGCCAATACCGTGCTGTCCGGAGGCAGCACCATGTACCCTGGCATCGCAGACCGGATGCAGAAGGAGATTGTCATCCTGGCCCCTAGCACCATGAAAATCAAGATCATTGCTCCTCCAGAGCGGAAGTATTCCGTGTGGATTGGGGGCTCCATCCTGGCCAGCCTGTCCACATTCCAGCAAATGTGGATCAGTAAGCAGGAATATGACGAGGCGGGACCTCCCATCGTTCACAGGAAATGTTTCTGAACGGCTGCGCACGTTAATGGATTTTTCATTTTGCCTTTCTGCTCTTCTAGGTCATGGTGATGAAACTGCTTTTCAATCCACTTTCACCAGCGGTAAGGTGAATAGTTCATTCGTCCTAGTGTCAAAGCGAGCAAACCTCACCTCCCTAAGTATTAATGTCTTTACCCGCTAGCACCTTGACCTCACTCCACTTAGAATTTGGATACTATATTCCATTTTCTTTATCTGTAGGGGTTAAAGAAATACAAATCTGCCCAAATGACAAGAACTAAAATGATGAAATATCCCTTGAGAATGGATAACAACAATATCCTAGTTCCAAAAACTAGTTCTTGTTAAAAAAATAAATAAACCAGTTTGAACAAGCCTATAGAAAATTGTATTCCAGTATTTAGCAAGGATGTCTTATTAGTTAAGTGGTTTGTTTCATTTCCTCCTTTGTATATAGATATTGAATTACATAGGTCAGTAATATCCATGTGGACATAAATGTCAGGAAAATACAATATTATATGTTATAATATACTGTTATATCTGAGTATCTTGAAAAGCTAATGTGAATTTCTTTATTCACCACCATTTTTGTGGGCCCATATTTAATTGCCTCTTTTATTATGTATAATGAAGCAGTCAACATTCCCTTACTTTATATAAACCAAGTGACTTTTCATGTAGTGAATGTAAGCCTGCTGACAGTACTTTCTGAACCTCATTACAGACGTAATAGAGCAAAATTGCAATGTCTAATTTTCAAACTACAGACGGTTAGACTGTGATAAGCTAACGGCATTGTGTTACCATTTGGCAAAGATTTTCTATTTCTTGGAAGAATAATGCATTTGTTTCCCACTGTCAGTAGATCATAATTGTATTTACAAAGTTTTATAAATCTTAAGTTCTAGTACCAACATTATTGTTGTTGCTGTTATGTACTGTCGAGTTGGAACTGACTCATAGTTGACCCTCCATCAGGTTTTCAAAGACTAGGAATCACCCTGGAGGAGAATGCTCACTTTTCTCCAGGGGAACAGTTGGTGAATTCATACTGTCTTTGAGTTGGCAACACAACTTCTTACCACTAGGCTCCAGAGCTCAATACTATTATCTTTGGGAACTAACCAAGCTTCTTTCTGCAGAGTGTTGAAATGTATGTTATAAAGTATCAGCATATCCTCTTATGTTTACAATTTCCAAATGGAGCCAATGAAATGTCAATTTTAGCAACTAAGTGGGTTTCCATCTATGCTGTGATATCTAGTGATTTCAATATCAAAGTGACTTGAGCTACTCGAGGTTTGCTTTTTTTCCCCTCTCCCTAAAATACTGAGTCTTTATTTGAAGTTCTTACAAAGTCATTATTAGATCTTTAGGAGAAAGGTTCTCTTCTTTCCTAGGAAACGCTTAATTGTGTTTTGCATTTCCAAATTAGATTAATAAAACATTTTTGCTTAGAATAAAACTTTTCAAAGTATTTCACTGTTCCTTATCCAACAACACAATTTTTAAAATGCATTGAGCTAAAATTTATCTCCAGTTATTTTCTTTTATAATATATAGTATTTTATTTCATAAAATTAAAATTGCCACATACTTGTATATGCTGTTATTTCCCCTCCATTTTTCTCTAAGCATTCTTTAAGGAGAATGATCAAGAAAGTCTCACTCTTTATGTGTGACTTATTCATCTGTATGTTACAATCTTGTAACTAAGTAAGACATTTGAACATGTAAAAATTAAAAGGTAAACTTGGGAGGCGGGAGATGTCCACTCAGATGAAGGTATAATATCCTTGCAATTACAGTAAAAATGTGCATTAGTGGATAAATAGGTCTTCCAGTAATTAGTAGGCAGAGATAGTATATTATAATAATAATAATAATAATAATAATAATAATATCTTGAATTTATATGCTGCAACGCATTCCACGTACAGAGTGAGAAGTTCTCATAAGAAATCTGACCTACATTTTGAATTAGCAGAAAAGATCCACCTCACCACCCACAGAAAATGTGTACAAGAAGACGGATGAACCCCCAACAGAATGAACTATAAAGTTGTCCTTAGGTGAAAACATGAACCCCCACTATGTAAAGAGATATTAAAACACTTGCTCTTTAAATATTTTCCTGACCGTCAACATTGTCTGCCTAACAGATAAATTTAATAAAGAGACAGCCTTCTCATAACTCTATACTTAAGAAAAAGAACCTCAGTGGCCAAAAAGTTGATCCTAAGTCAAGGTGACTTCATGTGTCTCAAAGTAGAACTGAGTTCCATAGAGTTTTCAACAGCTGATTTTGTTTTTTAAGTAGTTTATCAAGTCTTTCTTCCAATAGTCTTTGGCTGAACCTGAACTTTCAGTCTTAAAGTTAGCAGTCAAGAATGTCTCTCTCATGTTAAAGAATGCCTCTTGGTGGCTTAGTGGTAAGGAATTGCACTGCCGACCCAAAGGCATGTGGTTCAAATCCACCAGCTGCTCCGTGGGAGAAAGGTGGGCAATCTTCTCCTGTGCAATTAAAATGCCTCTGAAAACCCATTGGAGAGTCAGCTGTAGGTTGGTTCCAACTCAATGTTTCATAATAATGATGACTTAGTAGATAGAAAATTGTGCTGCCAACCCAGAGGAAGGCAGTTCGAATCCACTAACTACTCTTCAGCAGCAAGATGGATCATTTCTTTCCATGTGATTTTTCTGGCTCTGAAAACCTAATACAGGGTCAGTTAAGTCAGTTCTTACTCAACAGCTAAGAGTTATTAGTTAACTATCTAGTTGGATAACACAGAACATGCTAGTCACCAATGGTTCAAAAGTACAATTCGTCAAGCAAATCACTTACAGAACTTAATGAAGATACAGATTCCTTGGTCCTACGTTCAGAAATTCTGAATCAATCTTAGTTGAGACCTAAGACCTGAAATGTTCAACCAAATAAAAGGACCACAGCACTGCATAACCCAGGACCTAAAATACATAACAGACTCTTAGGTCATGAAAGGACCATGGACATTTTCCACAACACCAAAGCAGCCTCCATCAGATTAAATTCATGACCATTCTGTAGGTCTCTTATACTTTCCCTCAGTGATATATAAGTAAGTAGTTATTTAGGGCTGCATCTTAATTGCCCCACCTCTTCTTGACCATATTTCCCAATCATGGCTAATATTTTTCTAAATGCATACATGATTCAAGGTCAATGCCTACAATTTAACATGCATATATATTTCTTTTTCAGTACTTGAGTAAAGTAATCCTAAGCTACAGGTTGAGTTTTAAATTTCCAATTCTATAATATTAAAGAACCTGGAAGAGACTATTACATTTTCCTGATGATCAAAGGATAATTCTTTAGGTAACAAGGGAATCTTACCATATTTATTCACTCATTTCACAGCCATTAATTTAGTGCTCTGTGCCAGATGTGCTTTAAGGACTTGAGGAATTTACAATCCAGCAGTGGAGGGAAGAAAATATGTACAGTGGAAACTAGCGTGATACAAAGTTGGTTCACAGGCACTTTTAAATGCAGTCCAAACTATGACGGCGATTCAAATAAGGACATTTTAAGTCAGGCTGATCAAAGAAGAATTTGGAGAATAGATGGAGGCATTGGGTTAGGGCTTAAAGCATGCTCCATTTATATTGAACACAATTTAAATTTTTTCTTAGCTAAGTCAGGCATCACTTGGAACACTATTTGTTGGACTCAGTAGCATAGTTTATTCTTATTTTGAATGTTTCCATTAGACTCTTCCAGGAGTTTTGTTAATTTTTTTTCTTTTTTTTTTTTTTAAGAGCACAGACTTTGAGGATCAGTTCAGGCATCACCTCCTCTGTGGAGACTTTGGTATTCGTCCCTACTCCCCACCCTGCCGTACGCAAAGCTCCTCCATTGTGTTCTCAGTGTATCTTCTACATGCACGTCGCATCACAACTACATGTGCCAACACTCTTCCACCGTCACACCATCAACAAGCACCTCAAACAGAGAAGAAAGGGATAGCGTATGTCTGGTTTTGAGTCCTCAAGGACTCTATAGCCAGGCACATAAACATAAACAATAAGCATGATTTGAATATGTTAATGACTTAATAGATTCTGATGTGCTTTGTGAAAATTCATTTTGCATCATCAGTTCTTGCCACTGTAGTCTCAGTTCCATTATCTTGTTAGTATGACTGGTTTTGTCTGGTTCTGTATTTCCTCTGAAGAAAAATTTCCCTTTTCTCTTTCTTCCTCTCCATTCTTTCTTTTTTCCATCCACTTCCCCAATGTTTCTCAACACAAAGAGCTAGATTTCCATAGCCTCATTTACTTGTCAGTAAGTTGGGGTGAGTTTTTTCCCTTCCAATTGCTTTAAAAAATTTTTTTTTCACCTATTAGGGAGTGTTAGCTAAAAAGTCGTTGAAAATTATACAAAAAATCAGACCAAAGAAAGAAATCTTTCAGTGAGTACAATCGTATATTCAGCTTTTCAAATCTGTTCATGTCCTTCTTGATATTTTTTTTTCACTTTTCTCTATGTTCCAAATGTCTCTAGAGTTGAGAGTTTAGATATCTGACTTCCTGAACACTCAGAAATTATGATGTATTGAAAAGTAAGCTTTCCTAGGAAGTGTTCACAGCCTTTTCCAAGTTTAGAAAAGATTTCTTTCAGAAAATGTTTGAAGTTAGAAATCAAGCATGTGGTTTGGTCGGTACTGCTTCCAGATGTTGATAAATAACAGTTGGAATGTCTTTAGGGATATATATGTATGTATCAGTTAGAGAGACTGCTCATTAAAATTAATTGATACTTTAAGACTTCCTTTCTAAATGTCAGTGGACCTGTCTGAACTGTAACTGCCTTTTTTTCTGAAGGAAAAAAAAAAAAGCTAGTGCCCTAAGTAATAAAGAATAGCATCTCCAAGAGCTGCCTGGCTTGTTTTTTCATCTCATTCCGAGTCTGATGTCCTAACCACTTTATAATTTTAGGTCCTATTAAATCTAGTTAACAGATGTGCCAATATGATACGATGGTAGATACTTTATCTAGACAACACCCGTTGCCACTTGAAAAATGGAAAATCTGATTTAACTGGGTGTTTGATGATTTGCAAGTCAAAAACCAAGTTGCTCTCTCTAGATA